CCTTCCTTGACCACTGTGGGAGGAATAGTCTCAGTAGATAATTCTCCAATTCCTTCGAACTCTAGAAATCTGAATAAGACAGCTTATAGACGTTGCTCATTAGAGGAAGAAGGAGGGGGAAGTGTAGCCAGACATCTCCTGGCTGTGGTAAAGAGCTGTCCAAAGGCAAATTGGGCATGCCTATAAATGAGAGTGAGTTCTCTGTCCCTGAAGTAATCAATAAGATGCTAGGTAATCCCTTCTCCGACCCTGAGGATACTAAGGGAGAGGATACTAAGGGGCTTGTCAGCCCAACCACATCTGCTCTTTGCCTAGCACCATTAAAATGAATTTCTCTCCCCCTGACGTTCACTGACTCATTTGTTTATTACTGTAGTCGTCCATCAATCCATTCATTCATTCATTCAATGAATATCAGCATTTTGGCCGGTCAAAATATTATTGTGTCTCATTTTATTGTGATAAAAACAGTTAACAAGAGATCTACCTTCTTAACAAATTTTTGTGTGTACAATAACTAAGGTATTGTTGACTACAGGTACAGCAGATTTCTAGAACTTAGTCATCTGGAATACCTGAAACTTGATGTCTGCCGATTAGCAACTACCTTTTCCCTCTCCCCCAGCCCTTGGCAACCACTGTTCCACTCATTGGTTCTATGAGTTCGACTACTTCAGATACCTCATAGAAGGGGAATCATGCAGTATTTGCCCTTTTGTGACTGCCTTCTTTCTCTTAACATGATCTTCTCAAGGTTCATCTGTACTGTCAGTAATGGTAGTAATCCCTTTTTAAAGGCTGAGTAATATTCCATTCTATGGATAGATCATGTTTTGTTTATCCATTTACTGTTTGTTTCCACATCTTGGTGGTTGTGGATAATGCTGCAGCATACATGGGAGTGAGGAAGGCAGAAAGGTTCCTCTTCATCCGTCTAGGGAAACCTGAAGCCTAGAGGCTGCCCTTGTTTTTAGAGTCCCCTCATGTTGTTCTACAAGGTGGAGCGATACCAGCACGGTAGGGTAAAATGTTGCTATGTTCGGCACCACCACCCCCACCCCCGCCACCCCGACAGTTCTGGGTAGGGTCATCAGAAGGCCTTGTGTGTGGTATGTGTGCCAGAGTGGATAATTTGAGGGAGAAGAATGACTGGCATGAGAGGTACAGAGTGGGATGCGGGGTGGGGGGTCAGTTGGGAGAGATGGGAAGGTCACTGGAGCTGAGCCAGGGACACTGGAAATGATGAGTGAGGAGGAACTAACTCAGTTCCTGGGGCAGCTCGGGGAGCTCGAGTCCCCATGCAGTGTGAGATGTAATTCTCCTGCTTGTTCCCCCATGAACATTCAGTAAAATCTACATTGCTCAGGAATGCGTCATGAAGTCGGACTTGCTTTTGTTGGGAGATATAAAGAAATGGGTAGATGAAAACAGAGCATCCCTATAAAACCAGTCTCCTTGGGATCACCCTTGTATCCCTAGTGACCACCCTTGTGGCCAAGGGCAAGGCTATTGTCTCACGGGGATGTGGAGCACAGTGTGCTGCACAGTCTGAATAAGTGGGGGCCGAGTGAACAGAATTGACAAGGTCTATAAAAGCAGGAGGCTTGTGACTGTTTGCTTTACCTTTCCCCTGCAGCCTTCCCTCCCCTGCCCTTGCCTCCCCAGGAACATAGATGGTTTTAAGATCAACTGGGGCTTTGGGCAAAGGTTCAGCTGGATTTGTTTGTTCCTCCCTGATCCGCTTTGACTGTCCCTGGTCAGGATCGCAGCCAGCTTGAAACAAACACAAACTAAATAGGAAAACAGGAGAATAAAATAACATCAGTGTGTACCTCTAAAGCCCTGTCTGGTGCTGATAGAGCTGATGAGATAAGAGGAAAATGTATTTAAGCAATAAGAGGGCTTTGTTCCTGTTGAAGACTTCCCTGACCGTGAATGTTTTAGATGCAGAGATAAGTCCCCCCCCCCACTGCCCCCAACTGTAGCACTCCAGAGATGTGCCCCACCACACTCTGCTGGGGACAGGCGGCTCAGAACACAAGGGGAAGGAATTCCAAAATGATACATGTCGAATTGCTGGCCTGGATTTCAAATGCCGTAGATAGTTTATGCAAAGTCTCGCACTGTTGTAAAATGTAACACAATCCACTGGCAGATCTGCCTAAGCTAGGTCCCAGTTGTTTTTGAGAAACATAAATAAACTTGAAGATGTCTTCCAGCCTGTTAAAGTGGCCATTTTGCCCATAGTCTCCTTGGTATTAGGCTTCTAGAGACTTGAATAACAGAAGCCGATGAGATGGTTGATGTTTGGCATACTCTCTCCTCTCCTTAAGATGTTTCCTGTGACATTTGGGAAAGCCATACTGTATGCCCAGGACCCACTGGCTTCCTTGGGGGGGGGGGGAGGGAAACTTTGGCAATAAACGAGTTTCAACACTCTTCAATGTTCTTAAAGCAGTAAAGATCTTTTCTTAAAGGAAACATTACAAGGCAGCTTGATACGTAAGACAGAGGAGTGGAGATGCTGCAAGTGGAGCAGCAGAGGGGCAGAAAGGGGGCAGATCTCACATCCTGACCCCCAGGCTGGCACCTCCAAGGAACCCTGTGAATCCACAAGTGACACCTTGAAAACCTGTGACTCAATCCAACATTCAAATGTGTAAGATAAACCAGGGTCTCCTTAATTGAGGCCAGTATGCCACCGCACGTCACTCTCTGGGTGACTTCTCCATGATTCTCCAAACTTGATTAAGTGACTTATCTTCCTCTCTTTGGGGTTTCAGGAATGAATTGATGAAGATGTTAGCAGGAAGGGAAACTGGATGAAGGATTCATTTGGACTCTGTGTGACCTTTGCAACTTTTCTGTAGATATAAAATTCCTCCAACCCAAAAACTCATTTAAAAAAATACCAAAGCATTGATGACTGCAATTGTAAATTGCAGACAGTCACACATCAAGTATTTTACCTTGACTTTGACTAGTGAATTTGATGTATGACTTTTCTACTACCTGTTTAATTCTTCTGTACTCATCTATAGGAATCTCTGGGCAATATATGGTTTTGCCTTGTGTGATTTTTTTTTAAGTTTATTTATTTTGAGAGAGACAGAGTGTGAGCGGAGTGGGGGGGGGGCAGAAAGAGAGGGAAAGACAGAGAATCTCAGGCAGGCTCTGCACTGGCAGCACAGAGCCCATGTGGGGCTCGAACTCACGAAAACTGTGAGATCATGATCTGAGCCAAAACCCAGAGTTGGACGCTTAACCATCTGAGCCACCTAGCTGTCCCTCGCTTTGTGTGATTTTTATAAATGGCATCATATTGTACTTGTCCATTTACACTTCGTTCCTTTTTTTTTTTTAAGTTTATTTATTTTGAGAGAGAGAGAGAGAGAGAAAGGGAGGGGCAGAGAGAGGAGACAGAGAATCCCAAGCAGGCTCTGCTCTGTCAGCGCGGAGCCCCACATGGGGCTTGAACCCACAAACTGTGAGATCATGCCCTGAGCCAAAACCAAGGGTCAGTCATTTAACTGACCAAGCCACGCAGCCACCCCCATTCCTTTCTTTTTATTTTAACTCAATATTATGCTTCTAGCAATCTCTCCATTGCTATCTTGAACTCAGGAGTAGGGCTTCCATTTTGAGTGGCCAGGACCCATACCATACCTGTTGTTGAATATTTCTAGTATCATCCCTGTGTATGAATCTAATTCAGGCCTCTTAGTAGTCTTTTGCTGTATAAAAATATGTCACGTGAATATTTCTTGTTTGATGCATCACTTCCCCAACAGATAACATATAAACTATGCCCAGTCTTTTGCTACTACAGATATTGCTGGGATAGATATCCTTGATCCTTATATATAGTTTTTCTTATTCCCCTCTTTTTTGTTGTACGTGTATTATTGTTTACTATGATCGATAGTATCTTATTTTTTTTTTCCCACAGCTTCTAAGAGCCTTAGCGTCTGCTAGGTCAGCCTTTTTTGGAAGATAAGTCCTCTGAGCCCTGCATGCATGGAATGACAGGCCCAAATCCACAGGGGAGTTTTGAGAGAGGAACCACATTAGAGGTCAGAGGAAAAACACAAATGTGGGATGGCCTTCTGCAAGAGGCCTGAGCCATCTCACGAACAAGTCTGTTGCCCCTACCCTTTTTCATCATAGAACTCTTCTGTTTTCTACTTTACAGTTGTGTGTGCCTACGTGATAACTATGTGCACATGTTGTCAACTGCGAGCCCCTCAGCATCTGTCTTGTCCTGGAGTGCTTGGCACGTAGCAGTTTCCCAATAAATATGACTAGAATAAATGAATGAACCAATGAATGAAATCATATTTGAATACACAAGAAACTCCTAAGTCTGAAGAATTCTACTTGTCTGTGTTTGCTTCGTGTTTTTTTAACCACCATTTGTTACATATGTCATTGAGAATGTAGGGGGAATGGCCACTGGAGGATAGGCTCATACTGTCGTAGTCTTTTCTTTATTCTTAATACAGCTCTGAACATGATTTACAGATTTGTTCTAAGTTGGTCGGCTTGGTATTCAAGACTGTGAGATCCAACCCCTTGTCCCGCCTTTTCTGCCATTTTGCTCAAGCTCTAAGAACACCAGGCAACTTGCCACAGCCTAAGCATTCTGGGTTTCTGCTTTCCTCCAAGCCTTTGTTCCTGTTCCCTGTATCTGCCATACCCTTCCCCTGTGTCTATTCTTTAAGACCCAACTCAGATGTCAACTCCTGCAGGATTTGTCCCCATGAGAATGTCCTTGTTGCGTCTCCCACCAAACGTGTTATCTGCTGTTTCCTTCACAGTGTTGAGATTCCCTGCTCTACATTAGGACGTGGGCTCCTGGAACGGATGACCCCCGTCTGTGCATCCCCGTTTCTTCCTGTGGTGCTAAGAAAAAAATAGATGGATAGGAAACATGTATCAAATTGAACTTAATCCAACCTCTCAGACCCTTGAAAACATTTTTTTTCTTTATCTTTTTTCAGGTGTGTCGAACCAAGGTGATAGATCTCAGTGAAGGCATTTCCCAGCATGCCTGGTACCCTTGTACCATCAGCTACCCATACTCCCAGCTGGCTCAGACCACTTTCTGGCTCCGGGTAAGCCAAAGCTTGAAGAGCCTTAGAATCTCCAGCAGTGACCACCCCCCTCCCCCAGGAAGCACCAACTCCTGTGACCCTTTCTCAAGATGGTTTGTCTACTCACTGAGGGTGTTAATTATAAGGACAAGGAACAAAACACTTAGCAGTAGGATGCTTCCTGAAATAGAATCCCTTCATTGCTCATGGAGTGCCCCTAGTCATTCTTGTTTTGACAAAGATTTTGGATAAGTTTTCTATGCCTGGAACCTTCTGTTCATTGTTCAATGCCTTTTAAGATTGTCTTCTTCTCCTTGAAGTCTTAGCTGATCCCCACAGAGAGAAGTGACTGTTCTCTCCCTTCTGGTCCTGTACATGTTTGGTCATCATTTGGATGGCACTTGTCACCTGGTATTATATTGCTGTCTTTGGGGCCATCTTCCTGACTAGGGATTATGGTGACTTTTGGTTTGCACACTACTGACCTACTTTGAGCTACTATGGAGCCTTGCAGAAAAGCAAGGGCTGTGTCTTACTTAGCTTTGTCTCAGAGGCTAGCATGGAGAAATGACAAATAATATACCTCTTTTGTGCTTTTAGTCTGTGCCACTTTGTTCCCATGATCTTATTGGAGCCTCACAATCATCCTGTGATACAGCTGTTTACTTGATACATCACTTAGAGGTGAGGGAATTAGGGCCCAGAGAGGCAGAGCTACCACTCACGGTCACGCAGCTCAGCAAGAGCAGAACCCGGATGGAACAGAGTTTCTGACCTCAGAGCCTGTGCTCTTCACTGTGAGGTTCTCTGCCCCACAATGAGTGTCCCAGTCCCTGAAATGGAAGATTCTCCTTGAAACCCCTGCCCCACAGCTGCTTCCCTACCATGTGCCTGAGCTCACGAGGGACCCTCCCATGTCTCCTGCATTTCAGGCATACTTTTCTCAGCCAATGGTTGCTGCTGCTGTCATTGTCCACCTGGTGACTGATGGGACATACTATGGGGACCAGAAGCAGGAGACCATCAGCGTCCAGCTGTTTGACACCAAAGACCAGAGCCACGATCTGGGTGAGCATGTTCTCAGGCATGTCGTCCTTGGTACCACATCTGCCCAGGGGTGGTCTGGGGGGCAGCTGAGAACTCGTTCGTCCTTCCCCTGTCCTCTTTCTTGCTTCTCTGTTTGGCATTCTGGTTGCCCTCCAAATCGGGAGGCTTTTGTGTATCCAGAGAATCCTAGATCTGGCAGATATGGGCCTAAGGGGCCACTGCCAAAGTCTTCCCTTCAACAGCTCCTTTTGATGAGGCACCTTTAACCTTAGGCACCCCATGTGATCCTCAAGAGACCCTGGGAAGGAGACTGAACAAAGGCCATTCCTCCAGGTGTCAGTCCCTGAGACCCAGAGAGGGTCACATGGCAGCGACCAGGAAGAGTGGAGAAGCCAGGTGTTTGGAATTGTAGCCGTGGCTCTTTACCCTGTAGCTGGAGGTGTCCCTTAGTGCCTGACAATGGCAGCCATGTCTCCAGCACAACCAGCCGTGCTCCCTGTAGGAGCAGGAATAAGACAAGGTCCGTGTCAGGGGTGGGAAGGCAGAAGAGTCAGGTCCTACCTGCTGAGCAGCGGTGGGAGAACTGGGACCAGCACTGTCAAGTTGTCACATGCACACCCCTCTGCACACCCACGCATGCATGGTGCACAGGACACAGCCCCAGCTCCGGAGCTGACAGCCCAGGCTTGACTCCCGTCCCTCTGCTCACACAGCGCAGGAAGGTGAACGCTTTTCTTGACCTCCGAGCACCTCATCTGGCATCTTACTTTCCTCTTAGGCACAGTAGGGACCACGGTGCTACTTTATCATGACAGTGAAATCACGAGATATTAAATGAGGTATTACTTAGGACTGTTGTGACTGTGCCCCACACAGGAGCTGGCACTGGGAATGTCCTCTTATCCCCTCCCACATTTCCAGTTTACCTCTGGGCAGCCTCGCCAGGTGTTTGGAATTCTAGGCTGGCCTAGAAGGTCGGGCTTCAAACCCCTGCCTGCACCGTTCTGCAGGGAGCTCATTTCAAAGACCTGTATGAAGCCAGCAGGCAAGGGGTCATTGCAAGGTCAAGCAGAAGCCAAGGGGGCAGGGAGAGTTTTTGTTTTGTTTTTATGTTTATTTATTTAGTTAGTTTTAGAGGCAAAGGGGGGACATATTAATAGGAAGGAGAAAGAAAACCCCTCTGGACTTATCCGGATGCCTGAGAAATTTCCCTAAGTGAGAAGCAAATATTTTCATAGCTGTCCTGGCATTGCTAAGGGCTCTGAGGAGTGGGGAAAGTCCAGTCCACAGAAGCTGCTTCATGTCTGAGGTTTGCACGTGTCCCTGTCCCTCCCTGTAGTGTCCCCTGTCCTCAGCATCCTGCTACCCGCCCCCCCCCCCCCATGGAGCGCTTGTCATTCTGAGTGAGCACAGCAGGGACCCTTCTGGATTGGGAGCTAAACATCCCAACAGAGCAGGCCTGCTGGGATGTGCCTAGAATCATCCTTGATTTTAGAGGCAGAAACTGAGTTTGAGGAGCTTGCTGGAGTCCCATCATTAGGATGTGATAGTCCCCTCAGAGGCAAGTTAAACCATGATTGGAACCAAGGTCCATTGGACACCAAAGCCAGTGTCTGCTTTTCCAACTCCATCCCACCCCATTGCCCCCTTCTCTCTTCTGGGTGTGCCCTTTCTCCCTGCCCCTCTCCCTTCCTTCTCAAAGCCTGGGGACCTGCTCCCTGTTCTAGAATGAACCGAGAGCTGAAGCAAGCTTGGGTTCAATGTAGACTTTACCCTGCTGGCTGCTCCGTGTGCCCCTGGAAAACCACCTTCTGCCCTCACTTCTCAGTCTTACCTCTGCTGAATCAGTGCAGAGGTCCCTACCTCACAGGGCTGCTCCCCAGTTCCTGGATTAAACACGAGAGCAGGCTTCTTACTCTGGAAAGAGCGTGTTGCTGTGAATTATTTCCACCATCTTTATGGCGGATGGGGAAGGCAGCCTGAAAACTAGCAACTCAGACCATCCAGCCCTCATGCAGTGTGGGAGGGTGGTCAGGGCCAGCGATGCTAGTCTGAGAGGTGGCCATTGGGGGAGGGAGAGAGGCTGTGGGCGCTAGGTGACAAGAAAGCTTAGGGGGCAGGGAGGCAAAGGGATTGGAAAGATTTGGAACCAAGAGAAAAAGGCAGACAAAGAAACTTTCAATCAAACTCAAAATCCCCACTGGCCACCCAATGGTGCTTTTGTGCAGTGACATGAAAGGGTCTGGGGGCTTCGGGAAGGGCCCGTTGGGGAGGGCGTGACTGGCCTTGAGTAATGAGCCTGGCCCCTCGGCCCTCTGTCTCTCCTGACAGGCCTCCATGTCCTGAGCTGCAGGAACAATCCCCTGATTATCCCTGTGGTGCATGACCTCAGCCAGCCCTTCTACCACAGCCAGGCGGTACGTGTGAGCTTCAGTTCACCCCTGGTCGCCATCTCGGGGGTGGCCCTCCGCTCCTTCGACAACTTTGACCCCGTCACCCTGAGCAGCTGCCAGAGAGGGGAGACCTACAGCCCTGCCGAGCAGAGGTAAGGGACCCTGGGTCTGATCGCCCTGAGCCGTTTTGTAGCCAGAAGCAGATGGGCGCCTTCTGGAACTGCCTAGATGTGTGTGTTGCTATAAAAAGTCTGCGTGTTTCTCCCTTCTCCATCCTCTGGCCTCTGGCTGGCTCTGCCTGTGGGCCTGGGAGGCCTGCGCGTCTCTGGATTCCAGGGGTGAGGGAGGGAAGCAGGAATGGGCGGTGGAAAGACCCCCTCACCTGGCTCGCAGGCCTGGCGCTGACAGTGGCCTGCTTGCATGGTGCACATCGCGTTCCCTCTCTGGGCCTCAGCATCCGCATTTGAACAAAGACAAGACAGGTGGATTAGCTCTCTTCCAACTCTGAAATACTGGAATAGTTAGGCGGATGGAGGGAGACTGCTGTTTGCTTCATCCCAGCTTACTGTGTGTTTCAGTGATGGGGAAATCTCTCCACCTTCCCCAAACCTAGCCCCTGAGTGGTCTAGTGGTCCGATGAGAAGAGAGCATGGTGTTTTCCTGGAAAGAATATGAGCTTTGGTGAGACTCTGACCTGGGCTTGAACGTTCCCCTTCTTGCCTGTGTGCCCATGACAAGTCACTTCACTTTTCTGAGTCTTCCTTTCCTATTTTGGAATAAATGGAGGATGATATCTACCCCACCGGGTGGTCATGAAGGCTGAATGGTGCGCCGTAGATGAAAGTCCTCTTGTAGACCGTTAGGCACTGTGCAAGGCTGATGTATTAATACAGAATATTTATGGCCACTTTCTGATCTGACAGTGGGGCTTCTCTGCATGAAATTCTTCTAGCTGGAAGAAGCCCTGGAGATCATCGGGTACATCTGGAGTGTCTCAAACGCCTGTGTTACCCTCTAGGATTCCAGGGCCCCGAAAGGGGAAGGGTGGGTCCAGGCTCACACAGCACCTCTCACGTTTGTTTAATGAGATCCAGAAGGAGACAGTACGACAGGGGGAGTCCCAGTGGGCTCCCCCAGAGTGAGACGCTCTGAAAGGCAATCCAGTCCAGCCCTGTATACCTGGGAGCAAGGAGAGGAAAGCCGGGGGGGGGGGGGGGGGGGGGGGGGGGGGGGGGGGGTGGCCACTGCCTTTCCCACGCCCTTGCCACCACAGGGGACACAAAAGGTGGTTGCAAAACCCACATTGTTTTGCACCCACTGTCTCTAGCTTCTGTTGTGCAAAATCTGTCGCAATCATTCGGAGGCAAAAGAGCTCCTTAAATATCACCCACTGTTATATTTCACACTAAAAGGGCTTTTTCATCCCTGGCTCTGTAGACTATAAAAATAAGTTAATTCTCAGAACCCAGGGAAACAATGTCGATGGGAAATGCAAATCCATTCGACCTTTTCTGCAATGCTTTCCCATCCTTAACCAGCCACCGGGACCATGGGCAAGTTGACTGAGGCCAACAACTGGCTTCTTTGAATTCTTAATTAGCAGTTCCTGTGTCCGAAGTAAACAGTTACAAGTGTTTAACCTCAGAAACAAATCAATTGTTTAATATCTGTTGAGTTCTTGGACTCGTGACTGAGAAGCACTGAGCGGGGACAAAGCGTTGCCCCATCTCTGACCGGTTGTACGACTGTGAGCCAGTCATACCATGTCTCTGGGCCTCAGTTTCCCCATCCATGGGATGATGGTGATGAATTGAATGTTCTCTGTGGTTCTTTCCAATTCAAACAGTCTGTAGTTCCCAAGAATGGGGAGGGGTGAGATGCAGGGGAAAGGAAGCAACATGTGTTTCGTTATCTTATTTCATTATTTTATTTCGTTATCACACTTGTCCTGCGAGGTATGGACAGAGAGGGTGAGTCAAGGCGGTCCAGGCAGTAGGAGGCAAAATCCTGCTTCGTGTGCCCCGAAAAGCCACCAGAGCCAAGCGCTCAACAGAGCCAAGCACGTCTAGGAGACGAGGGGACTTGTCAGGAATGCTCATGTGTGAGCGTTTTGTGACAAGAACCGCGGGACGTGAGCGAGCTGGGGCTCTGAGGGTCTCAGCGGCTCAGCCCTGAGTGCGGACCTGGCTAAGATGGGCGGAGCCCCCAGTGCCAAGGCCGGGGGTGCTGGGACACCCCCCCACCCCGCACCCGAGTGCTCTGAGGGGGCGAGAGGGGTTGGAGAAGGAGGCAGCTGCCCCTGGAGAGCTGAAGAGGCATTTACCCAAATAGCCAGGACCGCATAAATGTGCCTGAAAACAAACAAACTGAGAGGGAAGAAAAGAGAAATAAGCAACAACTGTAAAAAACCGTGGGATGTTTTTCTCCATTCTCAGAACACCAAGGTAAATAGCATCACTTTTTATAGCACACAGTTCAGCTGGCTCTAGGAGAAGCGGCCCGCTGACTCTCAGCTGGTTCCCAGGTAGTGAAAGGGGCTGTTCTGGCCTCCCGGCCTCCAGCCCTCCACCCCTCCCTCGTCCCCACCCCACGGATTCTCTTTCTTGCTGTCTCCCCTCCCTCTCCGCCCACTCTGCCTCCTCTCCCACCCTCTCCCTCCTCATTTTCCTTCTCTTCTCCCGAGAGCTGCATGATATCTAGTGGGCTGCCCTGGGAGAAGCGTCACCACAGCAAAATCCATTCGGGCGGGTGTTCTGACCTAGATTCAAGGGTCTCCAGTCCCGGTGCAGCACTCGGAATAAATTCAGAGGCCCAAGGAAACAGGATCAGCTTTCAAATGAGAGGTCCAGTTGTGGGATTCTAGCCCAAGCCCAGCTCCACACCTAGGGGAAGGGGGGACAATGGGGGCGCGTAGTGATGGTGGTGAGTGGGTTAAGAGGCTTCTTCAGTGAGGAAAGCCACACCATGGATCGAGGCTCCTGTGTGTCTGACACACACACACATGCTTTCTATCTATCTATCTATCCTGTGGTTCTAAACAGAAATTGAACAGTTTATTGCAAAATTCAGTGAGCCATGTGCTTATACAATTAGTACTCTCTTCCTCTCCCCTTTCCCTTCCCTTCCCTTCATTTGTCACTTCCTTCCCTCCCTCCGTCTTTCCTTCCTCCCTCCCTCCTTCCCTCCTTTCCTCCTTCCTTTCCTCTTTCCTTCCTATCTCCTTCCTTCCTTCCCTCCTTCCCTCCCTCTTTTCTTCCTTCCTCCCTCCCTCCCTCCCCCCTCCTCCCTCTTTTTCCTTCCTCCTCTGACACAGATGTTTTCCCTCCCTCCTCCTTCCTTCCTTTTCTCTTTTCGGCTACCATGCCTTCCATTCCCTCTGATATTCCATAAAGCTAACTTTTCCTTCCTCCCTCCCTCCTTTCTACCTTCCTCCCTCCCTCCTTTCTTCCTTCCTTCCTACCTCCTCATGTATTCCAGCTTCCCTCCTCCTTCCTTTTTCTTTCTCCTCCTCCATGCCATTCCTCCCTCCCTCCTTTCTTCTTTCCTCCCTTCCTTCTTTCTTCCTTCCTTCCTCTTTCCTTCCTTCTTCCTTCCCTCCCTCCCTCCCTTCGTTCCTTCCTTCCTTCCTTCCTCTACCTGAAACTCTTCCCACTCCCCCATGCCAGCCCACCCAGAGAAGGACAGTTCCGTTAGAGAGCTAACTTTTAGAAAGCCAACTCTAGGAGGAAACAAATTCTTCCTGTGGCCAGATTGACTCCTTGTAGCCAGTGTAGGCTTAGACTGTGGGTGGGGTGGGGGTGAGTTGATGTGCCTACAAGCATCCCCGGAGTCTGTGCACTGCCAGGAGCCCACACGTGACTATCCATTCCATCAGATGACTCTATAGGAATTCGTGTATGAGATTTGCAGCCCAGCAAGAAGCCTCTTATGGCCAGAGACCACAGGCTCCCCCACACTGGCCAGCCCACAAGGGATCAGCACCTCTCAGAATGCTTGTTGGGAGTCGCTGGTCTGGGGGACACATCTGCAGATGGAACCACTGTGGCTGAGCATGTGTGTCTCTTGGAAGGTACCAGATGCTCCTGACTCTTCTCCCAGATGTTGTTTAATCTCCACTCCTGTCAGATGTCTACTGGCCTTCCTCTGCTTCTGTGTCCTTTCAATAACTGGGATTATCAAAGTCTGTTTTTCCCCCTTCCAAAGGGCTGTGAAATTAGATACCTCTATTGTTTTGTCTCCATAAAACTGTGGTCCCTGAAAGCTGGGAAGCCTCTAAGATACTGTCTGGTTCTACATTCTCATGAGGTCCTGGCAAGGGAAGGGAGTTCCTCAGGCCACCCGGCCACTTAGCAGCAGAACTGGCATTGGAATCCAGTACTCAGGCCTCCCAGGGCAAAGCAGGTTCCTCTTCATCTGAAGTTTCAAGATGCCTGCCACACTGGCCCGATGAGGCCACAGACAACGTGGATTTGCCCCCCGTTAATCCTCTTCTGTAATTAGTTGCCAACATGTAAACGTCAGGAGTGTTCATAGTAAAGACATCGGCAGATTGGAGACACGATGGGGTCGGTGCCGTGGGCCACCTGCGCCAGTAGTGACCTGCTGCTCAGCCAGCCGCCCCTCCCTCGGGCGCCCCGCACAACGCGCTGCTGTCCCCACCCTGCAGGCATCTGACGGGGCCTCATCACCCCTGGGCCACTGCCTCTGGCTTCTAGGATTCCAGGGTTCAAGAGCCTTTCAGGATTCCCTTCCAGTAGTCGCTGCATTCCCCGGAAGGGAAAAAGGAGCCCTATCTTCATCGCTGTCTCAGTCTCCCTTCCCAGTGACCCTGCAGCGCTGGGAAGGTGCCACGAGTGTCTTCCATTCATTTCCAGTGTGGACATGCTGACTTTTCTGTGGTCTCCATCTGAGGTAACCCACAGTGATGTATAAACAGGGATTATTATTATCCCCCTTCCCCATGGCGTAGCTACAGGACTTGGGCCAAGAGTCAAGGGACACAGCCAGGAACGGGACCCTCAGCAGCCCTTCCAGTGCTGGTCTTTTGGATCCTGGTTGAGCAGTTTTGGATCCTGTTATGCATGACTGGGGGCCATTTCCCTGGGCAGAGGGGACAGCAGTTGGGGGTTGGCTATTGAATCACTGAACGATATACCTTTATACGAAACTTGAGTCTATAAGTAAACATATTAAATATATATATAT